AGATATAAGCCTTAATGCTAAATAGTTGTCAAAACTAGGTGAATTTCTTGATTCAACCCAACCCAATCCGAAAGATATAGACTATATTTCTATATACTTTTCATATTAAAATGGATTTCCTGATCCAAGCCAACCCGAAAACATATGGACTATACCTCTGCATACTTTTCATAGTAACATGAATTTCCTTACCTAAGTCAACTGCAAAGATATACACTTTATTCTTATATGCTGTTTGCATTAAAATTTATTTTCTATGCTTATTTCTCAAGCTACTGATTTGAATTTCCTGAAAATAGGAACTTATCATGCCATGGATCTGAGGAAATTTAACCAATGATCAAGGCATTTGTCAAGTACTGTATATCATAAAATGTCTATCACGGTCTCTGAGATAGTACGGGGGCACGGCCCAGTTTCCTCACTAGATGCCTTAACATTCCTTTACACTTATGTTTAAATTTATTGTTTTATTTTCTAAATTAAACATAGTTTCGAGCTTTGTTGAAAATCAGAACATCCACTGGGTGAAGTAAATGTATTGCAAAGTAATTCAAAAAACATGAATTACAAAATAATTCAAGGAAATGGATAAAACAGTAGGGTCTCATAGGGTCTGCAGGATCTCCTAGAGTCTACCAGAATCTGCAAAATCTAGTAGGGTGTATCAGGGTCTGCAGAGTCTACCAGTGTCCACCAGGATCTACCAGGACTTCATGGCACATCACATCGAGAGGGACGTGATGTGAGTCGTCTTGGGGCTCTTCCATTCAGATCCTGACAGACCCTGATAGATCCTAGCAGACGCTCAAAGACCTCGGTAGATTCTACTAGATCTTGGCAGATCCTCCTAGATCCTGCAGACTCTGGTAGACTCTTGCATATCTTGAAGGCCCTATTAGACTCTACTAGACCCTGTAGAACCTGGAAGACTCTGATATGCCCTGCAGATCCTATTAGACTCTACTAGACCCTGCAGACCCTATTAGACTCTACTAGACTCTACTAGGCTCTGTAAGCTCTATTAGACTTTACTAGACCCTGCAGACCCCAGTAGATCCTACCAGACCCTGATAGACCCTATAGATCCTGGCAGCTCCTGATAGATTCCATAGATCCTGGTAGGCTCTACTAGACCCTGATAGACCCTATAGTTCCTGGCAGATCCTACTAGATCCTGATAGATCATATAGATCCTGGTAGATTCTACTAGACTCTGATAGATCCTGATAGATCCTACAGACCGTGGTTGACCATACTAGTCCCTGCAGACTCTGGTAGATCCTACTAGACCCTGATGCACCCTGTAGATCTTAGTAGACCCTACTAGATTCTGATAGACTCTATAGATCCTGATAGACCCTACTGGATCTTGATAGACCCTATAGTTCCTGGTAGATTCTATTAGACCCTATAGATCCTGGTAGATTCTACTAGACCCTATAGATCCTGGTAGATTCTACTAGACCCTATAGATCCTGGTAGATTCTACTAGACCCTATAGATCCTGGTAGATTCTACTAGACCCTATAGATCCTGGTGGACCCTGGCAGATCCTGGCAGACCCTACTAGACCCTGATAGATTCTATAGATTCGGATAGACCCTACTAGAATCTGATAGACGCTATAAATCCTGGTAGGCCCTACTAGACTCTGTAGACCTTGGTAGATTCTACTAGATGCTGGTAGACCCTACAGATACTGATTGATCCTACTGACCCTGGTAGACCCTACCTGACTCTCCAGACTCTGGTAGATTCTACTAGACCCTGGTAGACCTGCTGTTTTATCAATTTCTTTGAATTATTTTGTAATTTATGTTTTTTGAATTACTTTCTAATTCATTTACATCATGGACTCGGAATATCATAATTGATCAATGGAAAATACTGCATTTTATTCAGTTTTTTCGTTCTTTGGAATGAGTAGTCATTGAAAACAATGGCTCGATAAATAATGAAAAAGCGAGATGGAAGAAAACACGATTTGTGTTTGTGAAATCAGTAAGAGGTCGGTTTTAAGCGAAAGGTTATATATCCACCAAAAGGCACCTGCTTCATCTAAAACTTTCACCATTAAGGAATCTCAATACCAGATTTCGAATGAACATATCGAGATTGAAATTTAAAAATTGATCATATTATGGTTGTGTGATCGAATGTTGGTTTTTTTATAGAGTCTCTCATAATAGCAATAACTTCTCATCACTAGAACGATTACTTATAAATTGATAAACCAAAACAGCAACAAGGACGGATTCTACAATATTTTCATTTATAAGAGTTTGTGGTCAGTTCTTGTCTTAATTCTTTCAACGCTTTTCAGTATCTGAGCCAGAGATGAGCGAGCCGCGGTTTCACACCACACCGCCCCGCCCCGCCCCGCCGGCGGGGCGGTGCAGAAACTTGACGGGGCGGGGCGGTGACGGTGCGTCGCAAGATCTTGCGGTTTCCCCGCCCCTTGGCAATATTGAGTTTTTTTTAACATTCTTCTTAAATGTTTATTTTTTTTCTATTTCGAAATTTAATCTTTATATACAGGGTGGCCTATAAATAATAGCATAACGACAAGAAGTTTAAATATTTCTACTTCTGGTTATTCAAAAGGATTCAATTTTTTTCATTCGGATAATGTAAATAAATCCAACTGTTAAGTGTTTCAATTGACGTCAACAAAGCAACTTTACTAGTTGTCAAGTAAAAAAATATATATGAAATATTGTGTAGATGACTTTTAGTTGTCGTTTGACAGAATGACTTGAAAAAATTCAAATAAATCTGCTGAATGATACTATATGGATGACATTGAGAGAAATTTCTCAACCAGTCAATTTGAAAGTTAGCAATTACAATGTTTCGAAGTCTCAGACGTGGAACACTGATTTTTGTTGAAAACTTGCCAACTGGGTGACTAAAGGCTTTCAGATACGCGTTTTAGTTATCAAGCACTAGTTCCAGTATTCAAAGTAGCTAGTCCAGAAAGTTTTCTATATGTACATCAATGTAATATCGTTTAGAAGATTTGTTTGAACTTTTTCAAGTCATTCTGTCAAATGATAACTAAAAATCATCTACACAATATTTCATATGTGGTTTTTTTACTTGATAACTAGTGAAGTTGCTTTGTTGACGTCAACTGAAATACTTAACAGTTTGATTTACTTACATTATTCAAACGGAAAAAAATTGAGGAGAGTTCTATTACCAACCAAAAAATGAGCCCATTTGCATGAACAGAAGTAGAGCCATTTAAATTTCTTATTGTCATGTCATTATATGTAAGTCACCCTGTATTTAAATTATGCCTTTTTATCTCAGGAAATATAATAGTAATTATGAAAAGTTACTAAAAATTTCATGAATAAATGACTTCTGACGACAGACTTTAGACGGGGCGGGGCGGGGCGGTGACGGTTTTATTGTTGAATAGGCGGGACGGTGACGGTGCGAAACTTTATCAACGGGACGGGACGGGGCGGTGGCGGTGTGACTTTTTGGCTGGCTCGCTCATCTCTGATCTGAGCACCAATTTCAGTACTTTCTAGAGTCTCCGCATATTTTCCACATCTTTTGGCATCCAAGTACTTTTTAATGTCGAAAAGATACTGAGATGGTATGATTCCTCCGTTGAATGACAGCATTATCATGTAATTTTGTTCTTTTGAAAAATAACATACCACTTGTAATGGCCCTTCTAGTCAAAACGATAGGCATGACAATGGCCATTGTCACAGCGCATACACTAATATTGATCGCAAGAATGATTAAGACAACAAGTCTAAATGTGGAATGTGCTGATCATTTATATAATGAACTGATGACTGATACGAATCTCTTGTTGGTGTTTGTCGGGTGAGCCAACGGTTGCGCCAAGTCCTCTGGCATATTTCACTGCTTCTGCTTTTTCTACCAATGACACCCATTCACTTCAACATACGATATTTGAGTAAGAAAGCATGCAAAACTATTTCCTAGACAAACATTTTTGTCATGCGTTTGCACACATGCATGCCTCAGGATGTGTCCTGATCTCCTGATATTCTTATCAATAGGCAACAGTTTGAGCGGATGCCTGAGCCGTGCGTAGCTGTTAAGTAATTAATGCGCTGAAATGATTTTGCATAGTCGATGGTAATATAAATGTAATCCATCTTTTGCTGACGCCATGCATCAACATCATGAAACATGTTTTATGAAGGACACGTCACAATATCTTTCATTAATAAATTCTTTTTTAAGCAAGAAAGCACACCGATTCTAATTCAACACAAGGATTAACTTTAAATGCACCGTTTTGTATTTTTTATAAAACAGCATATTGATCAGTTTAGAGAAACAGACCACTGCGAAAAGGGAGAGGCTGATGATCACCAATATTAAATCAATAGTTGCTCACGAGCACTTTTCAATGAAATAGGACAGTGGAGATGGTTGCAAAGTGTTCATTACATCAATATTCATTATGGAAATGTCTTAGCACTGAAATAATTGGATAGCTTCGATTTATTTTCATTGTCTTTGATAGATTATTCTATATCTATTTTGTTAAAACATATGAAGTTTAATAGTCTTTAACGAATACAGTTGTTAAACGATTTTATCACATTAATGGAATATTGCCATTATCAAATATGCTGAATAATCCTGTTCATATTCAAAGATCGTCAATGAAAATGCCATTGGTTCGTTAATCTACTCTTTTAAGTTTTAATAATAAATCTAAACTTTTCATTTTATTTCTTTCCTAACCAAAATCGATATGTACAAATCTATTTTTTCAAATATTGTTCATTTTTATTAACAAAAATAAAAAATGCTGGACCCATGATACATGTTGAGAAGTATTGACGAATATAATCTGTTCGAATATTCATTGTTGTTAATTGTTCCAATGCTAATGTATCTTTTGTTTCATTAAAAATTAATGAATGAAACATTGTTGGTTATGTTGTTTCAATACAAATATTAAAATTATTTGATGAATAGATATTTATTGGAAACTAAGCACATAATAATTTTAAACATTGATTAAGATCTTTATCATTAGTAAATTTAACCCGAAATAAACATATTAAATTTGTTGATGAAGATGTTGATGGCCATGTGTAATTGAAGAGAACACTTTTACGATGAATATGAATATGTGCATAGTTAAACATTAACCAAATATCTATGATAATTGAAATCTAGATTCATTAAGGACTCACAAAAACAATTGACATCGAGTTAGACGATGAAATATATCCAACTGTCAGACGTCATTCGACCACATGTTATAGCTACGAGCAGGGCTCCATGAAACTAAGTAAAAGATTAAAAAGATTCAGATCTATAACTTACTGATGAAAAATGACTATCGTTTTAATGAAGTTTCTATTGAGAACTAACCATTTTTGAAAAATTCAAAACAAAGTGTGTTGAGTTGAAATTTTATCTACAGGTACGTTTGATAATTTCTGACATCCCACCGACAGTCCGTAGAGAAAGAGAAAAAAAGAGGAGTTTCAATAAAAAAGTGGAAAAAAAGAGGCACAGTTTTTGCTTCTGAAACGAGAACAAAGACTACCATGACGTTCAAAAATCAATAAATTGAAGCGTCGTTAATCTGGATTCAATACAGACTCGACAAACTCGAAAGATGAAAGCGATATTCAGTTCTTGACATTTGTGGTGGTGTTTTTTCTACCGAACAGAGAAAAAGAGAACTACAAAAATCAGGCAAAAATGACAGGGTCTACTACAAAAGTACTTGACTGTGATATCGCTTTACCCGAGTATTCGTAGACAAAGAAAAAGAAATTAAAAAGAAAATCACTGAATATTCAGACTGTGTTCAGTTTATAAAAGCACGAGAGCATAAAGAGGGTTTGGATGTGAAGTACGGTTGTGAGTGTGGGATATGGGTTTGGATCTTCTTTTCAGTCACACC